TGCGAAAGACTTGCCTCAAAAGCCTTCTACTGCGAATGACCCTCGAGACAAAAGCACACATTTCCAATGGGAGAATTGTGGGTCTAACACTCAATCCCAGGGGGAGGGTTTCGCATCACCCATTTCTACTAAGTCTCCTTCTGATGGAGATAATTCCCCACCCTCTTTGACCCATGAACCTCTATTCGCAGGTGATGATTCAAATCCTGAAGTCACCGAGTTTGCCTCATTCGAGGGGGAGAATAATGAAGCGAATGACGATGAAGCGAATGACGACTCAAACACTAAATCTGTTCAATCAGAATTTGAGGAAGTCAATGCTGAGCTGAATCCATCCCTAGATCCAAATTACCCTCCTATGACCAAATGGACAAAAGATCACCCAAAAGCTCAAGTTCTTGGTGAATCCTCTGCAGGTGTCCTTACCCGTTCTCAACTGAAAGCGAAACAAACTGCATTATTCTACAAAGTAGAATTTTGTATGTTTAATTTGTTCGTATCCAAGATTGAACCCAAAACCTACAACATAGCTCTCGATCATTCTGATTGGGTGCAAGCGATGCAAGATGAACTCAATGAGTTTGAGTGAAACAAAGTTTGGAGATTGATTCCAACTCCTCCTGATGCATCGGTCGTTGGTTTAAAATGGGTGTTTAGGAATAAAATGGATAAAGAAGGAAACGTGATCCGAAACAAAGCTAGACTGGTGGTAAAAGGTTATTGCCAGGAAGAAGGGATTGACTACGAAGAGACTTTCGCACCCGTGGCAAGATTGGAATCCGTTCGCATCTTCTTAGCATATGCGGCACAAAAAAAACTTTGAAGTTTTTCAAATGGGTGTGAAGTGTGCATTCTTAAATGGCGAATCGGAAGAGACCGTTTATGTGGAGCAACCGCCTGGGTTTATAAATGAAACGTATCCCAACCATTGTTACATTCTTGACAAAGCGGTTTACGGTCTAAAGCAAGCTCCAAGAGCCTGGTATGAAACACTAACTCATTTTCTTAAAATGTCCAAATTCAATCAAGGTTCAGTTGACCCAAACTTCTTTCGCAAGAAAGAGGGTGACCACTTGATGATCGTACAAATTTATGTTGATGACATCATCTTCTTATTATTTTAAATTTTAAATTGCTTAAAATTTTAAAATTTTAAATTGCTTAACAAAGTCAGTTCTTATTATTTTAAGTTATTACTTTTAGTTGTTTAATTAATTCAGTCTTTATCAAATCATTTTATCTATTATTTGCCAAAAGAACTTTCTCTTGAAAATTATTCACCGTTTTTAGTATCCTAACTACGCAATGATCTTAGTATCATATTATGCAGGTAAAGGAAACATAGAATGATAAAGGAAAGGTTAACCATTGTATTCAAAATAAAAGGCTTACAACCCTACATGAGTCAAATGGTTACATCAAAAAACTACGCTACCCTAACCACCTAAAAGGCCTAGACCTTAGCCTGGTCATCATCGGCCTTCTTCTCCTCAGCAGTGGCGCAGGCTTTCCAGTTAGTTAGGCTAGTGCCTCGCGCCATCCTACTACATTCCAGGATCCTGATTGCTCAAGATCCTCCTCCAACTTGATCTTAGCCTCCAGAATAGCCACCACACCACTTGCTTTCGCATCAGTGATCACCTCCTCAAGCTCCGCAGAATGCTCATCCTCCTTCTCAACCTTCTATTTGCTCAACAACTCCATCCTCAGGAGAATATCCTCAATGGTGGTCCTCTAGATTTTCTCCTGCTCTTTTCGAGCAGACTCAACTTACTCAGCACGGATCCTGAGATCATTGGTGAACTGAGAAACATGAGTGGAGACCTGAAAGAAATGCAAACATCAGCAAAAGAAGAAACAAGTATGATAAACTAACATAAATAATTCTTATACAAAGGAAACTTACAGCCTGGGAAAATGAGGTCAACTTTCCAAGAGCATCCTCGATGCTGAGGTTCTCTAGGCTGGAATATGTGGCCTCAGAAGTCTTCCTCTTTCGGGATCCCGGAGTCTTCACAACCAGGTCAAGTTGGGTTTTCTTCGAAGGAGGCAGAGCAGAGGGCTTCTCCTGCTTGATCCTAACCAAGCCACTAGTCATGTTATCCTCAAGGTCAGCCAAAGCGAAGCGAGCACTGGAGCGGACAGTCCTAGAACATGCACAAGAAATAAGGAACCTGATGAGATCGAAGATCCTAAGACAACAATGTAAATAAAAAAGAAAGAAAGATGTACATGTAGCCATAAAAGTTGTGTTGGAAGATCCTTCTTGGAGACTAGATTGATCAACTTTGAGAGATCTATCTGCCACCAGGAGAGAAAGAAAATTAGCAATCTTATCCTCTGTGTCCTCAGAAGCAGCAACGAGCTCCCCGAGCTTGAAACCTGTAACAGAAAAAACAAAATAAGAATAAGATTTCAGGATCACAAGGAAAAGTATTGAAATCCTACCCTTCTTAGCCCAATCTTTGGGTAAGAGATCTCCGCCAGGAATAGAGTCACGCCTGACAAATAAGTATCCCCCCTTCTACGCCCCATCGTTGTGTTTTGTTTTTATCAAAAGAGGAGGCTTGCCACTCTTGAACTTGAACATGAAGCGAGAATTGCCAAAAGTTGAGAGATCATAGACATGGGCCAATTCAGCCAGACCCATGCCAAGATCCCATGTCTGATTCAGACACTCAACCCAATACAGGATCCTCCAAATGATAGACATCACTTGGACGAAAGAAAGTTTTGTGATCCCGAAAAACTCCGAGACCACTCTGGAAAAAGGGAATTTAAGGCCTAAAACAGAGAAGGGATACTCCGGAAAGCACACCCAAGAAGCAGAGATGAAGTCTGGTTTGATCAAAGGGTGATAAGACCTGAAGACTACTTCAGGAGGGAAGGCACCACTAGCCTTCAATGCTGCAATATCACCATCATCGAAGGAGCACGTCTCGTTATAAGAGAAGACTCCTTGATCAATGGAATCGTCCTCAGGAAGACCTAGGATCTTCTTGTGAGAAAGCGTCATCTTTTTACCCATGATCGAAAATTCGGTAGAAAGGAGATGAGGCAGAGAGGATGTTCCCTTTATCAAAATCACCGGTAGCACGAAGAAAGCAAAGAAAATCGAGACGAGTAAAGAGAATGGTGGAACTGATCACCTCTATTTATACTGAAGATTTGAGGTTGATTTGACCATTAACATCTAGTTATCCACCCTTTGGATTTCAAAATTACCTAGACGTTAAGGGTTAATTTTGAAAATTACTTTTCTCTTTCTCCTTTTACCTTTTTTAATTTAAGTTATCCCTTTAATATTCTCGAAATTAACTCCTATATTTTCAAGAATAACTTGGGGGCAATTGTTAGGGCCAAGATCCTTAAAGCATTCAGGATCCTCAAACCTCATCAGATATTCAGGACCATCAACTATCTCAGGATCCCGACTATTACCATTATTATTATTTACTAACATTTATAACGGTTATATTTCATTCTTAATTAATGCATGTGCAGAAATAGTCAAGAGAAGACTTATTCTCAACAGAGAGTCATCTCAACACTAAAGACCCGAAATACCAAGTCAAAAAACGTTCACAAAGCTGGTCACAGAGGATCCCGGGAATATCGGACATCTTGTTAGCTAGTTTAGACTATAAATTAACACATGTATCTCGCACACGACACACTCTACTTACTCTTAGCTTACTCTACGAACTCTTTCACATGTTCTTACTGAAATACTCTCTGTAATCATCATTTTATATTAATAAAACCATCAAGGCAGGTGATCATTATCACCACCCAAGGTTTTCTACCAGAGATCCTAGCAAGGATCAAGGGCTTTCCTTGTAAACAATCGTGTCATTGTCTTTACCTTTCTCTATTGCACAATTCGAACACCACAACCTCTCATTCAATTTGGTTGATTTATACTTGTGTAATGTTTGACCAAAACAATGTTGTGAGTTTTCCATAATCAAAACAAAGATGGGGTTAGGAAGATCGTCAACCATAGTGTATCGACATATACGAGAGATCCTATTATCATTATAAAGTTGCAAAATCATGAGATTTTTATCACAATGTTAAAGAGGAAATAGGGCGAGTAGTAATTTCAAGAAAGATGGTAAATACACAGTAATTTCAAGAAACATGGGAAAAACCATACTTGATGTTTATGGGGAAGATGAAAGATCTTAATACACAAGATTTTGCAATAACTGTAGTTATTTTTCAAATTAGAAGAAGATATTTTATAGGGTTTTTGAAAAATGATCATTTGTTTATGGGGAAGATGAATGAACAATATGATTTTATTAAGGGTAATGATGATGGCGGTAAATTACCTGTTAAATGATATTTAAACAATCCGATTACTATTTCTATAAACTAATAACGAATTATGATGGGAAGTGATTTCTACACAACAATTTCCTTCATACACAACAATTTTTGATTTATAAAGTTGTACAATACAATATCTTAAAACACAAAATTTTGGTTTAGATAAGTAAGTATCTTTTTGCTGAAATGTTTTATAAGTAAGTTCATTGCTATTTTGAGATTAAGAGGAATGAAAAATGGTTGAATTTTTTGATATTTTGGCTAAGACGAATGACTGTAAGAAAGTACATTGCAATTTTGCTATCAAGACAAATGACAATGTATTGATTCTCTGTGGGACTAAAGGTGTACAAATACAAAACCATATTACACATTTAATTCCCAACTTGACTGTTTAAAAACACAATTCTTTTTTGATGATGTTTTTTTACGTTTTCTTAATTTGTTTATATGTTAAAATTCAATACAATTTGTTAGACGTGACTTTTATGTATGGACTTTACTTGTTGTATGTATTTTAGTGATTAAACCAATGTCCACCTAACTCACTCATTAGTCATTCCATATCAAATTAAACATAAATTCCAAAACACACTCTAACTATCACAAACTAAAGCCTTACAAAAATCAAGGAAACAAAACCAAAAAACCAAAACAAACCACATTTATTCCTTTTTCAACCTCTCCAGTCGCTCCTGCCTCTCTTCATTCCTCTCGTCAATCAAGCTGACGACTTTGGCCAACTTTTCCATCACACGGACATCCTTGCTTTTATCACTTATGAAGAAAAGCGTTGCATGAATTTTTTTGAGAGATGATTTGATGGTAGTGATGCATTGAACCATCTCGTCCTTCTCTTTGAATCCCTTGTAAGTCTTAACGATCATGGAGCCGATACAAGCTTTCCGTTCAAGATCATTCTTGATGTCAATCTCAATTACTTTGAGAAGAAGTGCTTTATTTATAGTGTTGTGTTGCGCAACCATATTGTTTGATTTCTTAATTACCTGGATATGCGATGATCAGACTTCCAAAATAGAGTTATATAAAGCAAAATGAGAGAGTAGAATGAAAATTATAGATTGATCTTGGATATATATATATATATATATATATATATATAATATATATATATATATATATATATATATATATATATATATATATATATATATATTGAAGTGTAGAACTGACAATATTTGCCGCTTTTTCTACAATATTTAAAAGATCTTTTATAATATTGGGTTGGTTACCAAATTTGTCCACCTACCCCCATGCCACTAATTAGTATTGATTTTCCAATAGACTATATAAAATAAACTCATACTTTAGATAAATCAAAGCAATCAATCAAATTAACCACCAAGTTATAGAGGTTCTCCATCGACCATTTGTGTTTCTTCATCATGGTGTCCTCTTCTTCAAGCTCATCAAAGATGAAATAGCAAAAACAAGTCACAGTGAAAAACTACGACGCAAAAATAATTCAAATGATGAAAAACCATAAAGAACATGAGAAATACAGAAAATGAGGATTAAAATTCGAGCAACTACTTTACACTAAACAACAAGAAGGCCTGGACAAACGCAAAGAGTCGTTGGAGCATATTCCACTTGTTGGAGCACACAATGCTTCTTTGTTTATGTGCATGAAGAAATCGAGAGGAAGTAGGAATTGGTTGAGAGGATGGAGAAGGCCATGAAAACCATTGATGACCAGACCTTGAGTCAAGATGAATTTTTAAGAAACATATAGACTTTTTGTTTCCATGTTGTCATGTTTGAGTTTTAACATTTAAATTTTAATGCTATTTATGTTTTTTTGTTTCCTTTAGTGTGATTTATATATAGTAAATTAATTCAATATAAAAACTTAAATAAGTTAAAATAAAAGACTCCAAGGAGAAATATATAATTTAATTAATACTATTTTATAAATTTAATATAAATATTTAAATAAATTAAAACTCAATTCTGTAAATTAAATGATCATTAAAATTAGTTTAATTACAATTCTACCACCACTTACGAAAACTAATAAATTCCAATTACGTAAAGCCACAAAGAGTCTATGAGGTTCATTAAGGACATTATATTCTAATATTTTCCAATTATGTATGATATATATCCTAATTAAATTCTTGAAACTCTTAATAGCTTTCTAAGATACAAAAATATCATAATATCCTTAATCAATGAACCTTGTACAAACTCTCAATGTTCCCTTCTATATTTTCACACCATTTTTTGGTTAATTTACAACAATGAGTTTTACACGCACATGGAAATGATAGATTAATTAAGACACCATTTCTTGATTTACACAACATCTACAATGGTGAGTGCAATGGGAGAGTTGAAAGAGGAGGCAAGTCTACTTATCATTTAATGGATTTAATGTTCTATTAAACTTTATAAAGTTCAATGCATTGTAGGAATAAATTCATAGTATGCATGGAATGTAGAAAGATGATGTGACAATCCATGAAACTCCATGGAGTTCATTGTAATTGGCAATATATATAAAAAAGAAGTAGCTATATATATGATTTAATTGGTAAAAAACTTTTCTGGTAACGGTTCTGCAACATCCCGATGTCAGGGTAATTTATATTTCAACCCTCTGTTTGAATAATATTGAATTTTAGCCCTTAGGTTTGAAAGGATTGAAAATTAACCCATAGTGGCAATATGGTAATTCCTTCCATAAGTAGTACGCTGAGCGTACGCTAGGCGTACTAGGGCGCGCCCTAGTACGCTGGGAGTATACCTCGTACGCGGCGCGTACGTGAAGAAAGTGAAAACCCTAGTTTGTATGGTTTGGTCCATATATAAACCCCATTATAGCCTCATGTCTCATTTCTTCATCAGCCTCCCTCTGTGAAAAACGACCCCAAGCAAACCCTAAGTGAGAAGAGTGCATTTTGAGTCTATTGGAGTGTTTTGGAGGTGTTCTTGAAGAAGAAGAAGGTGGTGAGGAAATCTTGGAGCTTGGAAGCATCTTGGATCTTAGATTTCCTTCTTGTTAGCAACCTCCATGAGGTATAAGTTCACAAATTGATCACTCGAACTTGTAGATCTACATATTTCTTCCTTTAAGACACTTTTTGTCCCAAATATGGTGATTCTTGAGCAATACATGTTCTTGACCCAATAAGTCATCCTTTCAGACCTTATGAGGGGTCTTGAGTCATAAAAATGTGGTTTTTAGGGCTAGTTTCAATCCATGCATGCTATAGAAGGTCTTAATGCATTAAGATGTTGAGATTTTGTGTTTTAAGCACTTAATGGACATGCAAAGTCATAAAGTTGGAAACTTTATGACTCTTGAGGGTATTTTGTCTTTGGATCTGATTTGGACGTGGAGATTTGGATTAGTATGTTCTTAATGGGGAAGGGTTGAACTGGCACATACGTTGGGCGTACCAAGGGGTACGCTGCACATATGCGGTCAGTGCCCCGTAAGCTGGTCAGCCACCGAATACGCCCCACGTATAGAACAGTACGCCCAACGTACTCGGCTGAGTCGACTCGGTCGGGTTGGCTCGGCTAGGTTGACTTGGCTAGGTGTTGACTTTGACTTTGACTTTGACCAAGGGTGACCAAGTTTGACTTAAGGGTATTTTGGATTGTGTTGGAGAATTGGTTATTTGGATGGATAGGTGACAGTTAGAGCTGAGATTCGGATTTGGGACCTCATCAGCTATTGTTCAGATTGAAAAGTGAGTCTTCCTCACTGTACTTGTGGGTCGAAGGGACCAAGGCCGGCCCTTTAGATTGGAGATTCATCCAGTACTTCTCCAAGATCGCAGTACCCCTCAGTCGTCTGAAAAGGAAGGGAGTGGATTTCCAGTGGGGCCCTGAGTAGCAGGTTGCTTTTGAGACGACGCAACAGAGGTTATGTGAGGCCCCAATGTTGACCCTTCCAGAGGGTGATGAGGATTTCGTGGTATTTTGTGATGCATTCATCACTGGTTTGGGGGCGATCCTTATGTAGAGGGGACGACTGATTGCTTATGCTTCTCGGTAGTTGAAGCCTCATGAGGCACGATATCCTACACGGATCACAAGAGTTTGCGATATCTTATGGACCAACCGAACATTAAAATGAGGTAGCGCAGGTGGTTGGACGTGGTCAAGGAGTATGACTACGAGATCCTTTACCATTTGGGTAAAGAGAAGGTTGTGGCGAATGCCTAGAGCAAAAAGTCGGCTGGATCTTCAGTTTGAAAGATGTGTATGAGGATATTCGTTGATTCTCCACTTTTGGGTTGGATTAGAGATGCACAGGAAGAGGGAGTTAGGAAGGAGAACTAGAAACAGTAAAGGATCAGGGGCGAGATCGACAGGTTTGTCACCGATAGTCGGCGGTTGTTGACCCGGTGTGATCGGGTTTGGGTTCTAGTTTTTTGTGGGATCAGGAAGATAGTGTTGGAGGAGGCTCATAAGTCTCGCTTTTCTATAAACCCGGGAGCCACCAAGATGTATCAGAATTTTATATTGAGTTACTGGTAGTCGTTTATGAAGAGGGAGACAACCTGGTATGTTAAGATGTGCTTGACTTGTAGGATGGTCAACGCCGAGCATCAGAGGCCGCATGACAAGCTGCAGCCTTTGGAGGTTCCCATGTGGAAGTGGGAACATATCACCATGGAATTTATCACCAAGTTGCTGAAGACTGCCAAGCGTTTTGATGCTATATGGGCCATCATGGATTGATTGACCAAGAGTGCCCACGTTTTGGCCATCCCGGAGAGCTCTACGACAATAAAGTTGGCGGATGTGTATGTCAAGGAGATTATTGCTCGTAATGGGTTTCCAGTCTCCATTTTTTCAGACCGAGATGTTCGGTTCACTTCCCGATTCTGGAAGAAGTTCCACGAGGAGCTGGGCACGAGGCTACAATTCAACACTGCTTATCATCCACAAACCGATGGTCAGAGTGATCAGACCATCCATGCACTTGAGGATATGTTACAGGCTTGTTCCATAGATTTCGGTGGGAGTTAGGATTCCTACCTACCTCTTACGGTGTTTTCCTACAACAACAACTATCACTCTAGCATTGGTCTTGTATGGTCGGACATGTCGTACCTCGGTATATTGGGAAGAGTTTATTCACAGGGTCATGGGATGGACCGAAGTAGTCCTTCAGACCACGAAGCTTATTCATCAGATCAGGCAGAGGCTGCAGACAAATCAGAGTCGGCAGAAGAGTTATGCCGACTGGTGCCGATCAGAATTGGAATTTCAGGTCGGTGATATGGTATTAATGAAGCTCTCACCCTGGAAGGGTATGATACGCTTCAGGAAGAGGGGGAAATTGGGTCCCCGGTATATTGGATCATTCCGTGTGATAGCCAGGGTGGTCAGGGTGGCCTACCGATTGGATTTTCCGAGTGAGCTTAATCAGATCCACAACACTTTCCATGTCTCTCAGTTGCAGAAGTGTGTGTTGGGCGGTGAGGCAGTGGTCCCTTTGGATGATATTCAGGTCGATGAGTGCCCGAATTATATTGAGAGGACGGTGGCTATATTGGAGAGAAGGATGAAGGTCCTACGCAAAAAGTAGATACCTTTGGTAAAGTTTCAGTGGCAACATCGGAAAGGCTCTGAGTGGACCTGGGAGTCGGAGGCTCAGATGCGAGAGCATTATCCTGAGTTATTCGCGATGGCCAACTTTGAGGACGAAGTCTAGTTCAATTGGGGGATACTTGTAACACCCCTATGTCAAGGAAATTTCAATTTCAACCCTATGTTTGAGTAATATTTCATTTTAGCCCTTGGGTTTGAAAGGATTGCAAATTAGCCTATAATGGCAATATGGTAATTCTGTCCAAAAGTAGTACGCTGACTGTACGTTGTGTACGCTAGGCATACTAGAGCGCGCCCTAGTATGATGGGCGTACACCTTGTACGCGGGGCGTACGTGAAGTAAGTGAAAACCCTAATTTTTAGGGTTTGGTCCATATATAAACCCCATTAT